GTTTGGGATTCCTCCAGTCCAGCCTTTCGCATGATGTATTCTGCATATAAGTTAACTAAGCAGCGAGACAATATGCAGCCTTGTCGTACTCCTTTCCCAATTTGAACCAATCAGTTGTTTACATTACAGTTCATACTGCCCCCCATATTGCTACAGAAATATGGAATTGGGGGTCAGAAAAAAATTATTTTATCCACCCACACTCCCCACCTTGGCTGAGTAGCCAAAGTCAACACCTTGAGTTGTCTAACCACTCTAACAAAACATTGGTTCTTTTCCAGTTACTTCTTTTCAATTCTGTGGGGATCTGCCATTTTTTAATTTGAGGTGCTATTGTCTGTCTTCCTAGGCCCCCTGGACTTCCCACAATCCCCTTTTGTTTGACAACTGGCCTACGGAAGGAGAGATTGAATTTCGAGGCTACAGCCTGCAATATCAGCCAGACTTAGGGCTAGCTCTGAAGAACATCAATATAAAGATCAAGGGGCGAGAGAAGGTAAGACATTAAATAAGAGCTGGCCTGTCCCGAGACATTTGTCTGCCTGGGGTGAGAGAAAAGCTCTCCCCACATTCTAACTACAAAAGCCCACCAAGGAGGCATTCAAATACATTATTTCTATGCTGTAACTTGTCTGCCATGCTGAAGGAAGTGGGATAGTTCAGGAGCAGTAGGTTGTTTTGTTTGGAACACAGCTTGAAAAAGTTCCTGTTTTGGATTCCAGCTCCCAGAACCTGGGTCTTTGGCGGATTCTGAGAGTTGTGGTCCAAACAAGTAACTTTTTCTAGGTATTCTCAAAGGCTTTCACGGCTGGGATCTGATGGTTGCTGTGGGTTTTTTGGGCTCTTTGGCCGTGTTCTGAAGGTTGTTCTTCCTGACGTTTCGCCAGTCTCTGTGGCTGGCATCTTCAGAGGACTGGAGTAGGAACTCAGTCCATGCTCTGTTCCTGTTTGTTGGAAAGTTGAGTATTTATAGCTGTGGGAACAGCTTTGTTCTTTTCAGGAGATAGGGTGATGATGGTGATCAGCATGTTTTTGTTGTGGATGTATTGTTGTGATAAATTGGAGAGATTATCTGTCACTATGATTGCTGTGTCTTCAGCTGGTGTTTTTTGTGCAATGATCCCTGGTCCTTGTGGCTGGGGAGAGTTCACTGACCTTTTGCAGACTATATTTTCCTGTGCTGGGAGCCAGGCCTTACTAAGTTTTAGACAGAACTTCAACAAAACAAAACAAAAACAAAAAAAGGAAAATCTAAAACTTACGACTCTGTCTGCCAGATCACTGGCTCTTAACCTTTATTACTCGGATGTTTTTGGACTGCAACTCCCAGAAGCCTTCACCATCAGCTCTGCTGGCTGGGGTTTCTGGGAGTTGCAGTTCAAAAACACCTGAGTAACAAAGGCTAAGAACCACTGTGCCAGATGGCCTCACTCTGCTGTCCCCTCCATGCCATGCATTGTTTGCCACCTGAAGCAACTACCTGTGTCATGTAATCTCAGAGAAGGGTTTCTCCCATAAATTCATCTTCTTAGCCACACCAAGGGCCTACTTGGTCCATCATCTTCCCCTCACTGGCTAACCAGATAGCCATGGAAGGCCAAAAGCAGGCCATGAGGGCAGTAAGCGTTGCAGAGTTTTGAATATCTGGTTAACTTCCTTTTGCTTCACAGCAGAAGTAGAGATTCACAGAGGTGAATAGCTCAAAGTTTGCCAGATAGTCTGTCCCTTTCTCATTAACTGGCACTTAAGGTCTCAATATCTCATTCTGTGTAGGAAAAAAAAGGGGGGGAGGTTTCTTTTCTTACAGTTGTGAACAGATGAAACATCAAACTAACATACTACTTCCAACAGATGAAAGAGAGGGAAAGGAACGCTCATCAGAGAAGTAGGGATCACTTTGAATACAGAGGTGGGAAGGAATGATTGGTTAGTGCTGGGTAGACTGACAGTCATCCCAGCCAGCAAAAGTCCCTCCCACTTCCTCCTTTTTAAAAAAAAGCAAAACAGTACAGCAGTATAGGATTATTAGTCTGCCTCTTGATCAATTGCCAAAAAACAACAACAAGAAGAAGTGTCCAGTGGCATTGTAAAGACTTGAAATTATATCCATGCAGTGATTGTAATACAGCAAAGTCTTTTGTTTGTCTCATGGAAGTGGTCTGAACTGTACAGCGATGCTGGGAGAAGACACATCATGAATCCAAGAATTTTATGCGAGCCTTGCCCCTTCCAATAGGCAGAGAGGGGCAACTGCCTCAAGCCGCTGATACTAGGGAGTGGCACCAGCAGACACCCTCGCCATCCATCCTCAGCGTCTGGACTTTCTCTTTCTGGTGGAGGCAGAGCACACCGTTGGTTTCCCATCCCCTAAATTGGCCTGCTGCCCTGACGTGTGTTGGAGGACTTTATCCCATTGCCAATATTCAGTTGGCAGTCTCATCAGGTTGTGTGCATGGAATGGGAAAGGGAACACCACTTTGTCCATATCTCATGATGCAAAATGACTTGGACCATCTGGCCATTGAACACCTTCTTTTTCCTAGGTTGGCATAGCTGGAAGGACAGGGGCTGGGAAGTCCTCTCTTGCAATGGGCCTTCTAAGACTAGTAGAAGCTGCTGAAGGACAGATCTTGGTGGATGGACTGAACATTGCCCAGATAGGTCTGCATGATCTGAGAAACAAGATTACTGTTATCCCTCAGGTAGGAGGCCAGTGTTTAATGGCACTGAAGCACAACTGCACAACCAATAAGAACTAATCTTTGACGTCTTGTACGTTATCACCTTTGTACTCAGGACCCAGTACTGTTGTGGAGTTCTTTGAGAAGGAACCTCGACCCCTTGGATGAACACTCCGATGAAGACCTCTGGACTGCTTTGGAACGGACGCTGCTCAAGGACTTTGTTTTGAATCTTCCCTGTCAGCTGGCATACAAGTGTTCTGAAGGAGGCAGAAATCTGAGGTGAGAGGAAAAGTCTTATTGAGGTTCAGGTGGTTGAAATGGAATGATATTTGATAGTAAGCAAAAACCATCTGAGACTGAGTCCACAGCTTGGAAAAGTTAGGGCTTTCTAATTATCATGCTATCCATGCCTTTGATTCTGCTGCGGGATTCTGGATATTGCCATCAAAGATGGCTTTCTCAAGCTTTGGGACCTACCTCTTGGAAATAGCCAGCAGTGTTCTATAAAGGTTCCTTGCCTGGTGTTGGATCTTCTGAAAGATTCAAGACATAGGCAACTTGCTGCGGATTTAACCTCTCCTGAGGATGCTGGAAGGGTCATATGCTCCATGAAAGAGAGCACACCAGATGATTTTTTTTTTTTAGAATGGTTATTTTCTCCAGGAAAAGTGGCCTTGAATCTCACCAAGGGAGCACCAAGGGACCTTATTATCAGACATCATGGCACCATGTATGCTAGTGGTGGGGGTTCTTTGGCTCTCTAGGCGTTTTTTAACTATAGCTCCCACAGTTCCTTACCACCAACCAAGCTGCCAGGACTTTTAGGAATAAGAAGTCCAAAACAACAAGAAGGCCAAAAATAGTCCACTCTAGTTTACATTGACCATAGTATCTGTCTGATGTCAGGCAACTGTCTTTTTATTTTTCCTAGGCTTTAAATTTTTTTATACATTTTCCATTTCTGGTGTGATTATTTTTTCCCAAAAAAGCACCCAGTTTTTACTGTTTGTTTAATAGTGTTGCTCAATAATGCTATTTTACCACATTCATTTATGTTCAGGTAAAAAACCCTGAACCTTGTTTTTAAAATAAAAACAGTAGTATAAACATGTGATAGATAAATATAAAATTAATGAATTAAAACAAACATTTGATCAAGTAGATTAATAATCTGCTTGCCGTCAAATTGCCTTGTTTTTAAAATAAAAACAGTAGTATAGATAAATAAATAAAACATTAATATAGTAAAACAAACATTTGATCATGTAGATTAATGTAATAATCTGCTTGCTGTCAAGTTGATTGTGACTTATGATGACCATTTTCAGAGTTTTCTATGTAGACAATACTCAGAAGTGGTTTAGCCTTTCCTTCTTGTGGGGGTGCCTTGGGACTGTGCAGCTTGTCCAAGGCCACCCGGGCTGGCTCTGCTGGTAGGCAGTGGGGCACAGTGGGGAATTGAACTCCAAACCTCTGGCTTTGCAGCCAGATACCTAAACCACTGACCTATCCAGATTGTCTTATTATATGAGGATCCTGGTGGGCAGCTGTGACTCTCCAGATGTTTTTGGGACTGAAACTCCCAGTATACCTAACCATTGGCTTTGCTGGTTAAGATTTATAGGAATTGTAGTCCAGCCTCTTTTGGAGGGCCATTTATTTCTTGTCCTGTTCTAAGCAGGTAAAGCCAAGGATGTCTAAACTCTCCCTCCGTTTTCCCTTCAGTGTCGGCCAACGGCAACTCATCTGTCTGGCACAAGCTCTCCTTCGTAAAGCTAAAATTCTGGTTCTGGATGAGGCCACTGCTGCTGTGGATATTGAAAGTGACCTCCAGATTCAGTCCACCATACGGACTCAGTTTAGAGACTGCACGGTTCTTACAATAGCTCACCGCATAAACACCTTTATGGACTATGACAGGTAAGCCTTTCATAGAGTAACAGCATTGTAGAGCTGGAAGGGACCTTCAAAAGTCAAAGCTGCTCAGTCTCATGATGGGTTCCAAGGTTTCAGAACTTTCCCACTGTCTGTTGCCTGACATATGAGTGTGTGACCGAGAAAAGCTAGAGATGAACCTGGGACCTTCTGTAAGCAAAATATTTGCTCTGTCATTGAGTTACATCCATTTCTTGTTGTTTAATTATTGGTAATGCATTATGCTGGCCTCATTATGTCCCAGATTACAGTTCCTATGCTCCCCATATGGCTATATTGGCTGGGGATGTTGGGAATTGTAGACTGATACATGATAATGAGAATGCCACCTCATATTTTATATTGTTACAGCATGTTGAGCTTGGAAGAGATACTTTTTTAGACTACTCTTTCCACGACCCGGCAATCATAGACGTTGGGTACCCTAGTGGCAGCAGGATTCTGGAATGTGTTGTCCGGAATAGTTGATCTTAGCTCTGAGTTAAATGTTTTTGGAGTTAATTTCCTTCAACATTTGGTTTTTATTAAGTAGTCAAAGCTGCTCAGTCTCATGATGGGTTCCAAGGTTTCAGAACTTTCCCACTGTCTGTTGCCTGACATATGAGTGTGTGACCGAGAAAAGCTAGAGATGAACCTGGGACCTTCTGTAAGCAAAATATTTGCTCTGTCATTGAGTTACATCCATTTCTTGTTGTTTAATTATTGGTAATGCATTATGCTGGCCTCCTCATTATGTCCCAGATTATAGTTCCTATGCTCGCCATATGGCTATATTGGCTGGGGATGTTGGGAATTGTAGACTGATACATGATAATTAGAATGCCACCTCAAATTTTATATTGTTACAGCATGTTGAGCTTGGAAGAGATACTTTTTTAGACTACTCTTTCCACGACCCGGCAATCATAGACGTTGGGTACCCTAGTGGCAGCAGGATTCTGGAATGTGTTGTCCGGAATAGTTGATCTTAGCTCTGAGTTAAATGTTTTTGGAGTTAATTTCCTTCAACATTTGGTTTTTATTAAGTGTACCTAGCTGCACCTATGGTTGCAGCATCTGGCTCTCCAGATGCTGCAACTCCCTTCAGCCTTCACCACTATAACCAGTAGTGAAGGAGCCTAAAGATTGTTTAACACTGACAAGCCAAACCAAAGTGATTTGGCTTTGTTTTGGCTTGAGCTGAAGTCTTTTTTGCAACCGCATTCAGTTTCGGTGACCTCACAAAGACCCTGGGTTGTTTCGGGGAGCGGGCGCAGTGACAATGTGTAGCCTGAATAATTAAAATGTAAACCATCAAGAGAGCGTTTTAAGTGGTATGGGACAGTATATAAGCAGTACACTTTGCTTTGCTTTGTTCTGGGACTGTTTAAAAGGTTGCATGATGGAAGGAAAAAAGGGACAGTATTCCAAAATTCTCCATGCACATATAAACATATACATATGCCATGGAAACATTGTTGTCTCCCTAAGTTCATCAGGAACGTTTGTATTTTATATCAATGTTATCTTTTTTCCCCTTCTTTTTATCCTTGCAGATGTGATCTAGCACTAAACAAATGTAACAATGCAGTGATAAGGGGATCTAGTGCTAGGATTGTTTAAAAAATACTTTGGGATGTCTAGAGAGAAAGATCACAGGGATGAGTGTTGGTCTGTCCCAAAACATCATGCCCCAATTTACTATGTCACCAGAAAAACTGCCCAAAGTCACACTCCCAGTCCTTTGGAGAATGAAACAATCAATCACATAGGCAAAGACCATTCGAATCATTGCAGTTAGAAAAAAGTAGAAGCTCCCAGCAGCAGGAAGACTGGAAGGAATTGTGGACAGACCAATTTGCATTGATCTTTACATTGTGTGGGAGGGACTTGGTGGTGTGGTGGGTTAAACCACAGAAGCCTCTGTGCTGCAAGATCAGAACACCAGAAGTTTTAAGATCGAATCCACGTGACGGAGTGAGCTCCCGTTGCTTGTCCCAGCTCCTGCCAACCTAGCAGTTCGAAAGCATGTAAAAATTCAAGTAGATAAATAGGTACCACCATGGTGGGAAGGTAACAGCGTTCCATGTCTAGTTGTGCTGGCCACGTGACAACGGAAACTATCTTTGGACGAACGCTGGCTCTACGGCTTGGAAACGGAGATGAGCACCGCCCCCTAGAGTTGGACACAACTGGACTAAATGTCAAGGGAAACCTTTACCTTATATTGTGTGGTCATTGAAAAATACTTTGAATTCATCTGTCCCAAATCCAAGCGAATTGTGAAGTATTTTCCAATGTAATTGCACAAATAAACTTATTGTTTTAACCAAAACAACAGTCTTATAGTATCTGAAAGATGAACCATTTTAATCTCCTGAGTGCCACAAATCTGTTATTTTTGCTGTAATAGGCTAAAACAGCTAACCCCACTACCCAAAATTTTAGTTTCATTGATGAATGACTTCTTTGCATGATAAAATCTTCGCTGCTAACGTGTCTTTGGTATGTCCATTCATATGTCCTAGCTTTTATATTTCCTTTAATATTTTCAGAATTATCGTTCTGGAAAGTGGCCGGGTGGCAGAATTTGATACCCCAGAGACGTTAATAGCCCAGAAGGGGCTCTTCTACAGGATGGCTAAAGAATCAGGACTGATCTGATGAGAGAACTCAGGGAATAAAGTGTCTGATCTGAAAGTGGATATCTTCCTCTGATGTATTGCCATGAATGCTTTTTGGAAAAAACTTTGTAAAGTGAAAAAGAAACAGTTGTCATGTACAACAACCCAGCAAGATACTGCAATTTCATTTCCCCAGAGAAAGTGGAGAACTAAAACTGGAAAGAGCAACTTGCACAAGGCTATTGTACGGAAACTTAGGGTGCTGTTACACATTGTAATACTCCTGGGTTTGTGTTGAGATCAGCATGCTTGAAATGGATCAGAAAGTGAGATATTTTAAACAGCCACAAGAGAGGCACAAATGTGCCACAAGGGGGGGCATTTATTATTAATCATTTTGCCATGTATGCTCATTTGTGTTGAAGTAAATTGTGTCTGTGGCATTTCTCAATACTTGTATGCAAAGATCATGGGTTGAGTTTGCAGGGAAACCTTGCTGTCCAATCTGTTATATATTTTTTCCTATTTATAACACTAATCTAGTGCTATTCCAGTTTTAAAAAATATTGAAATAACATTGCAGCAGAAGACCATGTTTTTATCACAGCCATCCACCTCACCTCAACATGGAAAGTGAGTTTGTGGCAGTGGCAGCAAATTGTGTGACAAGCAGCTGCTGTGAGATCAGGTGGGTGCAAAACAAAAACCCCAGAAACAGTTCCAACACAATGTGCCAGCAACCAGAGCATCTCCCCATAGCGTGGGGTTTTATTTTAGTTTTTTGGTGCAGACATTTCACTTCAGGAACGTATAGCCTCAGAAGGGCAAAACACATGAGCCATGCGCTGCCAATTAGCTTAGAAGTGCAATGGTTTTAAAAGCCTGTGTAGCCCTCTCAACCCATGTACAACACAGCTACAAAAGGATTTAAAATGGTCACAAGAGGGTGTACATAGTGTCCCACATGACTTGAAACCAACTGCAAAACCCCAAATCCAGATTTGAATTTATTTCCATAGTGTAACTGTGCCCTTAAAAACAGATTCCAGCTCTTGTATAACATCACTTGTGCCATTTTGGTTAATGCAGCACATGACAAGCCAGATCCATGTTATGAGTTGAGCAAGTAGTAGTATAGAAGTGGCACTGTTTGGAAGCAGTTCTTCAAGATAAAGCCAATGGAACTCAGTGGTTTCAGCATCTGGCTGTAAAGCCAGAGGTTGGGAGCTGGATTCCGCCAGGGTGCCTCCTTAACAGGGGCTGGATTTGATGATCCATAGGGTCCCTTCCAGCTCTGCAGTTCTAACGTGGTGGTGGTGGTGGTTGTCAAGATGCTTGTGAAGGCTGGAGTTCATTACATTTTGCACACTTCTAGTTATATTACCAAAAATGTAACGCAATCCAAAATCTTTGCTGTGCAAGAATTACCATGAACAGAAGTGGGATAATTAACAAATGATGGTGTTAATGATAAAAGGCCAGGGAACAGTTTCTGATCCAAAGTGTGGTGTCCCAGCTGAGACATCAAGGACTGTATAGCAGCTGCAGACAAAGTTATCACCCAAAATGATCAGGGCAGGGCTGGGCTGGGCTGGCTGGGCAGGGCAACAACACACCAACATACATTCATACACATTATTTATTGCACCCAGATACATACACACCATTCATTTACATGCAGACACATACACATAATTATAACAATTAATCTATGTAGACAAATGCCCACACTATTCATACACACACATAGAACCTTTCATGCTGTCACACATATAGAAACACACAGAATTAATTTGGTCACATAAACAGAAGCACAAAACTACATACACAAATACACATCCAATATGCATGTTATTATACGCATGCACATGGCATTTGCACCATTCATTCACATTCACACACTTCATTTATGTATATAGATGAACAAAGACACCATTCACTTGCATCCAGTGTATGTCAAACACAGGTATATAAACTAACCACATGTATACACATCTCATTCACACATCAATTATTTACACAGATAAGTACATATACACCATTTATTCTCACAGATACACCATTTATTTACACACATAGCTCATAGAATCATAAAATAATTCAGTTGGAAGTGGTTTAAAAGGCCATTGAGTCTAGTCCCCTGTTCAATGCAGTCCAAAGCAGGTTTGAGAAATGGGGTCCAATTTTCTCTTGAATGCCTCCAGCGTTGGAGTACTTACCACCTCCCGAAGTACCGTATTTTTTATAATACCGTATTATAACACACCCCCATTTATAAGATGCTCCCCCCCAATTTTCTAAACCCCCCTCCCCAATTAAGAAAACTTAGCTTTGAGGATTCAGCCTCTGGGCTCAGAAAATTGGAGATTTTGTCTCTGTCGAATCGTGAGCCTACAGGCTCCACCTCCAAGGAGGTGTGTTCCAATTGGTTAGTTCAGTATCAGCTGACGTCAGTTCCATAAGGCTGGTTATTGGAGGAAGTGAAGTCTCCTGACAGTAGGAAACTAAGCCTTGTGGCTGAAGGAAGCCTGTTTACAGAGGCAAGGTATGTGCCATTTTGTTGTCCCCTCAGCTGTCTCAGATTACTTCCGTGTAAAACACGCCCCTCAATTTTTAGGGTAATGATTTTAGGAAAAAGCATCTTATAGATGGAAAAATACAGTAATTGCTTCCATTATCATACAGCTCTAATAGTTATTACATTTTTCCTGATATATTCAACACAAATCTGGCTTTTTGTAGCTTGATCCCATTATTACATATCCTGCCTTCTAGGATGATGAAGAACATATCCTGCCCCTCCTCTGAATGACTACCTTTCAAGTACTTGAAAAATGCTAACCTATCTCCCCTCAGTCTTCTTTTCTAAAGGCTAGACATGCCCAGTTCTTTCGGTTGTTTCTCATAGTGCCTGGTTTGCATCCTTGTCACCCTCCTCTGAAATTGTTTCCAGTTTGTCAGAATCCTTCTTGAAGTGTTGGGTGTCCAGAACTGGACACAGGACAGAAGATGAGACACCTAGAGACGCCTCCTGCCCCCTTCCCACCGTTCCCATTGCCTCTCTACCTGTTGCTGCCACTGCTCCTGCCATCTTAAAAGGCAGCGTGGTTGGCTCTTGCAGGCCGGCTGCCTCTGCACATGCACCCACTCTTGAGCTTTTTTAATAAATTTTTTTGGGGGGAAAGAGAGAGAGTCAATGATGTGTGCTTGCCTCTCAGCTGATGACTGCCTCTTAAAAAATGCATAAAATAAAATTAACCCAGCTTCCTTAGCTGAGCCTGCCTCAATATTTTTTGTTTTCGAATGGCAGCCAGGCTGGCTCCCGGCTGGCTGTGTCTGCCAAGAGGTGGGCCCGTGGGAGGAAGGCAACTGGCCTGCAGGAGCCAGCAGGGCTGCCTATATATTAAAAATTTGAGAGGCACCCCAGACACTGCCCCGTTGCCTCCCTATCTTTTGTATATATATCAAATTGAGATGAACTGACAACTCAAAAATTGCTAAAATTTATTGATTCATATTTGTCAGGGTTGTCACATTTGACAAATACAAATTGATGAATTAATGATTTTCAACAAGTTTTCCGTTTTTTTTTGTTTCATTATTTTGTTTCTCTAACATCTGTCTAACAAACAACAAGCATTAATTCTAACAACAGAGTTTGAAAGAGTAGTTAGATTCCTGTCCACTTTTGTTTCAAGTATCTTGATAACCTTTATTTTCTTCAAGATGTGGATTTTTCCATTCCACTGTAAAGTGTTCTGCATGCATCATATGCCTCTGTGTTTATTCCGTTTCAGAGAAGAACTCTTGGTTCCAAATTAGTGTAGAAACTTTAAGGAGAAAATCCAAAGAAACAAAACAGGACAAAACAAAAAGGCCAAAACATGTGGAACCTTAAAGATTAACCGTTATATTAAGGTGCCACACATTTTTGTCTTTTTGTTTCTTTGGATTTTTCCTGATATGCTTGCACAGACTAACACAGCTACCTCTTCAAAACTTTAAAGAGAAAGTGTACCTTTTCTCATACATTGGTCATATAGTTATGGTGAGTGGGAGGATTATGGCTAAGTATTATCAAAGAGTACTGCGTGACTGAGATGCTCCCCCTTCACCCCAACGCGCGCACGCACATACACTTCCCAGTCTCAGCCCCTCCTCTGGGTCTCAGAGAAGAGCTAAAGCAGTCAAATCCTGCTTTGTAAAGGAAAGGTTCCTTTCACTGCCCTTCTGTAGAATTGCCTCTGAACGGGGAGATCTGATGTGAATTTTGCTCATGCTGACAGAGATTCCAAAGCCATGGAGTTTCAGCACATGATAATGTTATTATCCATTGTTGTGACTGGCGTATCAAGGTGTAAGTAGAAGAGAAGCAACATTGTTTTATGGCTTCAGTAATTGTCCCTCTTTTTTCTTTCTGCTTTTTCTCTCTCTTTCCCTGTCAAGTTGAAGTGTGACTCCTGAACAGTGATCTCATTTGCCTGGCATTCAATTTGTGTAGGGACTTGCAGTTTTGCTGAGAAACTTGTCTTTAACTTGTTTTCAGAATGCATGTTGTCATTGTGCCTTTTCATCCTCTGCTATTTGTTGGGAGGTGATTGGAATTACACCTGCTCAAACTGTACTTACATGGGAATACAGGTCTGGTCACCGAACCTATAAAAGGATATATTGTAGATCTGGAAAAAGTGCAAGGTTGGGGGGAAGCCATTCAAAATGCTTGTGATTCTGGAACAAATCTCCTGTAAGGAATCATAGAATAATGGGGCTGGAAATGTTACAACATTTTGGACTACTTGGTTTAGGGTTTGGTTTGGCTTGGTTTGGCAAGAAGGGCACACATGATTTAAAAGGATAAAGTTAAGGCATGGTGTTGGAAAGATAGGTAGGGAGAATTTTTCTCCCACTCTTGTAATATGGGAACCCAGTGGTATCAAAGAGTAAAACTGAATGCTGAGAGATTTAGGACTAATGAAAGAAAATACTTGGGTGTACTTAAACTGTGGAATTCACTGCCACAACATATAGTGACACTTGCCA